TTATTATTATTATTATTATTATTATTATTATTATTATTATTATTATTATTATTATTATTATTATTATTATTATTATTATTATTATTATTATTAATCTAATTATTATGATCTATCGGATAAATTAAATTAATTGTTTTACTTTATTTATGATGATTACAATTTAGTTGATGGGTTTAAAGCTGTATTGTTTATTACATTATTTTGAATTTAAGGTCCTAAATTTTTTGCATAGTTAAACTGTTATTATTTATTATTCTAATTAAATTCAGAATTATTGTTATTTTTAAGTTGATTCTAGAATTGAAAATCTTATGATTATGGTTGACTTGCTGTTCTATTCTAAATTGTTCCATTTTATTGTATATTTTACTATGCAATCTGAGTATCTCTATCATTAGCAAATGGTTAAGCAAAATTTCTGGAATTATTAATTTCTCTCTAAACTCCAGGAGTTGTAACTCTACCATTGGCAAATGATTAAGCTTAATTTTTGGAATTATTAATTTCTCTATAAACTCCAGTATTTGTAACTCTACCAATAGCACCGTATTAAGGTTATTATTACTGTAAATTATTATTTAGATTAAATATTTATTTAGGTTATTGTTAAGATATCTATTATTACTAATTATTTTTTGAATCTACATCTTAATATTAATTTGTAATATTAGAATTTTGGGGAAAAATATTTTATGAAACTCTGAAAGCGTTATTTGGTTAAGGATTTTACTTAACTGCTTAAACTTAATCTGTTTCATTAGAAATCTAATCTTCATTTGCTAATCTAGTATTATTGTTTATTTAAGGCTATTAATTTCTTAATTGGGGTGATAGAAATCCTTATTTTATATTTATATTTGCAGTTTATTGCATAAATCTACTTTCTCTTTGGATAGGTTGAGGATTAGGTTAATCGTTTTTATTAGAAGGAAACATATTTTTTTGAAGTTAATTTGCTGCTAGCATCGGATTATCTTAGTTTTGTTGTAGCATTATTTCTTGAGGTTTAGGCAAATCATTTTTAATTTGTTAACCTTATTAGAATTTATTTTAATCATTTTTATAGTAATTGTAGTTTTATGGTTATGGAATATTACACTATTGAGTTACGATATTGGTAGATTATTAACTAGGTTATTAAACAATTTGTCTGGGCTATGGTATTGATGGTTTTTATTTAATTTGGGATTAACCTCTTAAATCTGAAATAGTTTAATTAATATTATATCGTTTCTTAAGATCAATTTGCATCATATTTAAGAGAAGAGTTTAATATTTGCGTTCAATTTTTAAATTATTCTAAATGATTTTATCAATATCTTTTTAAGTTATTCTTGAAATTTTATTACAAACTTCATATTCAGTAGATCCTAAATAAAATAATAAAATACCATTAAACATTGGTACTCCAGTTAATAATTCATAAATCAATGCTCCAAAAGCCCAAATATCAACTGCTTATGTATATTATTCTGATGTTTTATTTATTTATTCTGGAGCAAGATAATAAGCAGTCCCAACTTTTTAAGTTTTTAACACATCAATCTCTTTAATAGTTCCAAAATCACAAATTTTATATAAATCTTATGTATTACCTTAATCATCTTTTACTTAGAATACTAATACATTTTCAGGTTTCATATCTCTATGAGCATAACCCATTTCATGAATTTCTTTTAATCCATTAGCTATTTCTTTCATTATAAATCTTATGTCATCATGCTTTATTGTACCTTAACGTTGTATTCTATCATACAAACTCTCTTTACAGTATTCCATAACAACATAATAATATTTACCTA